TGGGTTGTGGAGATGAGGGGAGGCGGAGCCTGGGTGTGGACCCACACAGCCCAACAGGCGCTGGGGGCGGCTGCAGAAGGCTGCAGAAGGGCGGGGGCGACAGGAACAAGACAAGACGCCTCTGTGAGGCCCCGGGAGGCCCCAGCTTCTCGGAAAAGCCAAGAACAGAGAGTCCAGGGTGGTTAGAAGGACAGAGGAGAGGAAGGGGGCCCAGGTGGTGCTCCCCCCGCCCTTCTCCACACCCCCCTCACCACACCCCAGCCTCCATTAGAGGCAACTGAGAGTGAAGAGGCATAGGGGAGTATAGAAGAGAGACAAACTTTGGGGCAGGGAAATAGCGACACACTTGCATGCACACAGGAAGCCATCGGGACATGCGGGAAGGAAGGGGGCAGGGGGGCACTGAGGAGAGAGGGGCAGGGTCTGCAGGCCTCAGGGAAGCTCAGGCAGGGCTTAAGGACAGAGAGAGCAGAGATGCTGGCTGCAAAGGGGGCTTGTTCTGGAAGAGTTTCGGGACAGGGACCAGTAAAGGAAAAAGCATCTTCTCCACTGGGGTAGGGACCCAGTGAAAAAGCTCAAGAAAAGGGGATAAGGGGACATGAGAAATGTGAGCTTGAGGCCAGGACGGGGTAGGGGGAGCCAGTCCTGACCAGTCCTGACAGGGCCCAGACATCCAGTCTCAGGTTATTTTTATACTGCGGTTTGTGCCCAAGGCCAGGAAGGGGAAAGTGTTCTCATCCTCACACTCCCTGCCTTTCCTCCAGCAGTCCGAGGTGTTATTTTCTCCTTCAGGACAGAAGCCTCACATCCCTGGCTGCCCACCCCCCACCCCAGGGACCCAGGCATCCTGCCCCCAGCCCAGACTTGTTCCTCTTTTGGAGACAGGAAGCAGAAAGAGAAAGGATTTAACTCCTCAGCTGCTTCCCACCTCTCTCCCACTCCATGGTGGCCACCCCCAATAATCAATGCTGGAGAGGCCCAGATGCAGGGAACTAAGACAGACAACTGGGGGTGAAAAGGACAAACCAGCAAGCTCCCCTCCCTGTACTATGTTCCCCCCTCCCAATTCCTAAATTTCTCAGAGAAACGTGGCTTGGCAACAAAGCTGGAGATGGGGCTGGGATGGGTGGTTGGTGGAAAGGAAGAAAGACCCCCATGTTCAGGATGGGACTGCAATGGAGAGACTTACAATGGAAGCCTACCTTTCACTCCTCCCCCCAAACCCAGGTGGCTCTTCCCCCAGGGGCTCAGCTACCCAGCTGGGGCCTCTACTCTCCCCACCTAGAGCCTGAGGGGGTGAGACCAAGACACAAGGTGCGGCCTAGGTGAGGAGGCCTCAGAAGCTATAGGCTATATAATGGAGGTGAAGGCCAAAGAGAAAGAAAGAAGGTGCAGAATGCAGGGAAGAGGGAGCTTGAGAGAGAAAGCAAAGGAGGAGGAATAAATGTGATAGGTGACAATGACGTGACAGGTGACAATGGAATGGGGAGAGGGCAGGATACAGGTTAGGCCAAGGCTGAGATGGACGAGTACAGCCCCCCAGGCATCTACCCCAACCTGGAACCCAGCTCTTACCTGCCCTGTCTCCTCAGGAGCAACAAACTCCATCCTCAGCCGTGTGGCCCCATCTTTCCTTCTAGACAGGGGAGAGGTCCCTGCTGTGGAGCCCCCAGCCTCCACTTCCACCCTCAGGGAGGGCAGGGGCGTGGCGGCCTGGGATGTGCCCGCGCTATCCCCGGTCCCAGGCTCTGGGAGGCGCTGCTGGGGTGGGGAGACTGACAGTGGGGGTGTTTCTACCTTGGCCCTGCTGGGCACTACCAGCTGGCCTAGCCCCCCAGTTAAGGAGCGGGCCTGAGGTCCAGGGGATGTGGGGGGTGGGCGGAGCCAGGAGGTAGGGCCCTGAGACAGGCCGGGCGGTGGGGTAGGGGCGCCCAGGCCCAAGCTGGCCAGCTCCAACCTGGAATCCAAAGATCTGCCCCCGGTACCTCCCGAGGCCCCTCGAATTCCCTCCAGGAGCCGGCCAAAGCTCGGGGGCTCCAGGTCTCTCTCATAAACATCCACACACGTCCAACGACCTCTGCGATAAGGCTCTCCCAGGCCATGGGGTAGCTTCACCACCCGGAAACGGGAGGCGGGGACCCCAGGTGGTGGTGGGGAGCCATTCCGGGGGGTGCCCTTGCCCCCTGGATCAGGGCTGGGCTCCCCATTGGGCAGACGGGGAGGGGGCCCGGTGGGGGCCAGCAGGGCAGGGGGATCTGAATCCCCTGGGCTCCCTGGGCCCTCATAGTCCGTGGTGACACTGGTGATTTGGAAGCTACTCTTCTTCTTGCCCCCACTCATTGTCCCTAGGGCTCAGGACTGGGCCAAGGTGGGGGATGGAGGGGGTGGGGTCTCCTTGAAGGGGCTCAGGCACCCCTGGAACAGGGAGGCCACATGGTGGGGGCATCAGGGCCCCTGGCGACGTCTGGGTCTGACATGCGGGAGGGCCCTGTGAGAACTGGGGGTGCCTGGTAGGTGAAGGGAGGACAGGGTAGGGTAGGCAGCGGGAGGGGGGGCAGGGGCAGGTTTTTCCTGCTGCTGCTGTTGCCGCCGAACTCCAGAGCTGAGTTTGCAAACTGGAAAAAGAGAGAGTGAGAGAGAGTGAGAGTGTGTGTGCACTTGCGCGCGCAAGAAAGCAGTGGGCAGGCCACCTCTGGGGCTTCCTCTCTAGGAGCTGAATCGGGGAGGAAGGGGAAACCGCCAGAGACCCAGAGACAAGAGACAGGCAGAGATGACAGAGACCACAGCAGAGGGGACGGACCCGAGAGCAGGAAGAGGCAGCTGATACCCAAAGTTGGGCATTTCTTGCCTGGGATTCAAACTCACAGGACCCAAACTGTCCCAAGAGTGCAGGCTCCAGGGCTGGGCGAACCCAGGTGAAGCAGCTCCTCGACCTGGACTGGCTGCCCAGAGGCCTCTGCTGGGCCTCAAGGCCCCCACACCCGGGCTCCCACATCCCCCGGGCAGGCCCTGCCCCACCACCCCGAGCGCCCCGCCCAGCCCAGAGCCCTACCTCTCGGGCCTCGTCCACTGAGCTGAGCCGGGGGTCCCCGTGCCTATGATATCAGGATGTCCTTTCCCTGTGGCCTCCTGGCCCTGGGCAGTAGGGGGCACACAGACTGCGATCAGAGGCTGCCCAGTCCTCTTCGGGGGCTGCACCTCACCCTGCGAGGCATCTCTGTGGAAAGTTTGCTCTCCAGAAAAGGAACTCGCACCTCCTCGATGGAGCCCAGACGCGGCCTCTGAAGCCCCAAGGGTCTCCCAGCTGATGTGGGAGAGGGCGGCTCAGCCCCGCAAAGCTCCAAGTGGCAGTCGGCCTCAGTGGTCTGCACAAGTGCGTCTCCCAAGTCTCCTCCCGCGTGGCCCCACTGGGTCTGTCTCTCTGCCCCTTGGCTGCTCTCAGCCTCTGTCTCTCGGTCTTTCTCTTTCTGGGCTGTTGACAACCCCCACACCAGGAAGTCCTGCCTCCTCAGGCCTGCTGACTGCTCCTCTCCTCCTCCTCCTTCTTCCCCTCTTCCTCCCCTTCCTCCTCCCTCCCTCCCTCCTGAGGCTCCCAGCCAGCTGGCCCAGGGCCAGGTCTGCCACAGCCGCTGCTGTAGCAGTTGCTGCTGCTGCTGCAGCTCCTGGGGCCCCAAACAGATTCCCTTAACCCCACACCTGCTGGGCCCCAGCCCTGCTCTTCTTCGGAGGGAGGGGCTGTGGAGGGCGGAGAGAAAGGGGAGGAGTTTGCAGGGAGGCAAGGGATTCCCTTACTTGTAGGCACTTGCTGCCATTGGCTTACGGACACACAGAAGAGTCGGAAGGAACATGCCAGGCAGTGTACTGGGTGCCCAGTTGACCATAAGTGTCTAGTCCATGTCATGGCACAGCTGTGGCCGTCACTGTCACATCCTCTTTGGCTTTCACAGTCAGTGCATGAGGAAGATGACTACTTATTTTATAGAGTTATTATGAACATTTTCAAACATGCCCAAAAATAAAGAAAATAGTATAATGAACTCCCAGGTATCCATCATGTAGCGTGAACAATTCTGAACTCAGCCAGTCTTGTTTTATCTACGCCTTCAATATCTTTTCTTGTATTTTGCTGGAGTATTTGCCAGACATCTTATTATTCCCCTTCTTAGATGTGGAAATCGAGACCCAGGAAGTTAAAAAAGGCCATCAGTGGTAGAACAGGGACATTCCACACTCTCACTGTGTCTTTGTCCAGCCCCCCTATAGAGAAATACATGAAGAACTGCAGGTGCAGATGCTGACCTGCACTTTCTCCCAAATGCTGAACACACAGGGATGTCCATATAGTCACCCACACATGCACCTGAAAACCCTGGCTGGCCACAAGCATGGGCCCCTCCCCTACCTCAGCCCCTTTCCACCTCTCCCATCCCATCCATTGCTCATTATACAGGAGAATCCACACACACTCATAAAGGGCTTACTATGTCCTCGGCAAAACCAAGGAAGAAAGAATAACCTCCAACTGCCAGTTTTCTCTCTCTCTTTTTTTTTAAATTTTTCTCTTTTTTGGCACCCCAACCAACATTCTGAAGGGAAATATTTCAGCAAAAGCAGTATCTAAAGGCCACATCTGCCTTCACTCCAAGGTTCAGAAAGAAACGGATTCTAATTAATTTTGGTCAATGGAACCATTCTCAAGTATATTAAAAATTCCTCACTGAATTTCTAAACGGCCCGGGAAGACAGATGGAGTGGGTTTTGAACTCCAGCTAAGGAAACTGAGGTTCAGATTCAGAGGTATTAAGTTATTTGCCCAAGCCCTCAGAGACAGTTCGACGGTACTTGAAAAAGTTCATGAAAAGGACTGGCCCGTGGCTCACTTGGGAGACTGGTGCTGATACCAAGGCCACGGGTTTGGATCCCTATAAAGGGATGGCCAGTTCACTCACTTGGGAGAGCGTGGTGCTGACAACACCAAGTCAAGGGTTAAGATCCCCTTAAATGGTCTTTTGTCACACTCTCCCGAGTGAGCCACGGGCCGGCCCTAACTGGTCTTTTGAAAAAAAAAGTTCATGAAAAGGACTTGCCCGTGGCTCACTTGGGAGACTGGTGCTGATACCAAGGCCACGGGTTTGGATCCCTATAAAGGGATGGCCAGTTCACTCACTTGGGAGAGCGTGGTGCTGACAACACCAAGTCAAGGGTTAAGATCCCCTTAAATGGTCTTTTGTCAGCACCACGCTCAGCCAGTGAGCGAACCGGCCATCCCTATATGGGATCCGAACCCGGGGCCTTGGTGTTATCAGCACCACACTCTCCCGAGTGAGCCACGGGCCGGCCCTAAATGGTCTTTTGAAAAAAAAAGTTCATGAAAAGATTCATATTATTTTTTAGTTCTATGTTTCCATGAATCTTTTGAAGGGCCCTTGTGTCTAATAGCACCAGGACTATAACTGGTCTGTCTGACTCCTATTCTAATGGTCTTTCTCACTTTCCTCCTTTCTCAGCTTGCACTCATGGAAATTTCTAATCACTCTTTAGGCTTAGGCAAATATAAAACCATGCAACTCCTGCCCACCCCCCTTTATGTATTTTTTTTTTCCTTTTTGTCTTTTTTCGTGACTGGTAACGGAATCGCAACCCTCAGTGTCGCGCCTGCACCGCGACCGGCAACGGGATCGCAACCCTCGGTGTCACGTCCACGTCCGCACCGTGCTCAACCAGTGAGCGGACCGGTCTCTATATGGGATCCGAACCCTCGGCGGGAGCGCTGCCGCACTCCCAAGTGCCGCACTCTACCAAGTGCGCCACCGGGCCGGCCCTATGTTTTTTTTTTTGTTTGTTTTTTGTTTTTTGTCTCTATTAAAATGCATCTGTACTCCTGAGGCCTCCCAAGCCGTGAGGTCCAGGAAGCAGCCTCCCACATGTCCCCCACCTTCTTCCCTCTGTCTCCTGCAGTACCTCTCCCCTCTGACAACATTCAGAACACAGCCCTAGCTGCGCCTCCTTCCTTCGTGCTGACTCCCTACAAAGTATTCAGAACTTATCTTTGGACCCATCTTCTGCCTGGGACCTTGTTGGTCTCTGCGGAAATGTTTGTTGAATGAATTCACACAAATTAATTCATACTAAAGTGTAAATGAGAGACGACTTATATGTGTTTTAATGTATTACCTCTCCTGGGAGCATATATAATATTCTTTATGTACGGGGGGCCCTTTACAACTTACAAAGCATTTTGGTATTACTTTACCGCCCTTTTCCTCCCAACCACGGTATTGAGGTAGGTATGGGATGAGGCATCTCCCAGAGAGGTTTTGGGATTTGCCAAAGGCCACACAGCACATCTGCAAAGACTGCTATATAAAGTAGCATTGGGCCGGCCCGTGGCTCACTCGGTAGAGTGCGGTGCTAATAACACCAAGGCCCCGGGTTCAGATCCTATATAGGGATGGCCAGTTTGCTCACTGGGTGAGCGTAGTGCTGACAACACCAAGCCAAGGGTTGAGATCCTCTTACCGGTCATCTTTAAAAAAAAAAAAAAAAAAAAAGTAGCATTCACAGGTTCCAGTGATTAGGACCGACCTACCTTTGGGGGACCCATTTTTCAGTCAATTAAGGGTGGAACTGAGGTCTCTTGAAGCTAAGTTACCCTGCGACAGAGCTGTGTGCCAAAGAAATTTCGCAGGGAGGAATTTCTCAAGGCGCTGATGAGAAAGGTGATGGGGGAGAGGGCGAGGTCGCGTCCCTCAACGGCCCCGAGACTGCACCCGGGCGGTGGCCACGGTGGTCACAGTCAGAGGCCGACGCTGGTGCTCCCAGGTAACGGCGGACGGCGCCAGCAGTCAAAGGTTACGGGGAGATGACTTGGCCACGGGGGCGGACAGGCGGGAGACTTTGGCCCAGACTGTGGAACAAGGTCCGGGCGCCTGGGAGGCTGCAGGGGAGGACGCCCAGCACCAAGCGAGCCAACTCCGGTGCCCTCCCCGCACCTGGGGAGCGGCGAGGAATAGGGGGTGAGGCCAAGGGAGCACGCCCCCTGCTGGCCAGAGACGCAAATCGTCCGGCTCCCGACTCTTGGAGCCCGTCCGCCGGGAAAGCGGCCCCCACTGCCGACCTCACCTCCTCTCTGCACCCCGGGTCCCGCAGCCGCGGCCCCCGCCCGACGCCGTGTGCGGACCAAGGGAGCGCCAGGCGCACGGGGTTCGCGGGTGGGTACGGGCTCCAGCTGCCGCTGGGGGGCGCCGCTGCGCGCGGCTCTCCGCTCCGCTCCGCAGGGCCTAGGAGACTGAACCCAGCACTGCCCGGCCGGACAGAGGGCGAGGGACACCGAGGAGCGGACGCCCCTAGGCGGGGGCAGGCTGGCGCCAGGCCACCGAAGCCCCACGACCTTCCTCCGAGTCCTCCACTGCGGACTCCGCGGCTCTCGTACCCCCTACCCCGCCTAGCGACGTAACGCGCCGCGGCCGCTCCCACTCCGTCCTTGGAGGGTGTGGAAGGGTGGGTTTGGGGCCGGGGGCGGGTCTGGGGGCGGACCCGGAGGCGGGGCTGTCTCTGCGGCAGGGCCCAGCTCCGCTCCCCACCGGTCTCTCTGTGTCTCTCCTCCTCCCTCCTCCTGCTCCGGGCGGAGCCCGGCATGGGGGGGCCGGCGCCCGACAGGCCAGGTACGGTGATGTAGAAATTGGGGAGGCTTGGTACGGGGAGGTGGGGGTGGGGGGACAAGGGGCAGAGAGGATTGGCGGGGCGGGAAGCGGAGAAACCCGGGGGTAGCAGCACACGGGAAAGGGGAGGGGGGCACGGGAACCTGAGGCCCTTGGATGGAGAGGGGGGATGAAGCAGGCCAGGTTTGGAACAAACAGGGGAAGGGAGAGGACGGCAGTGAGGAGGGGCGCCAGGGAGGAGAAGTGAGGCTGAAGGCGAAAAGCAAGAGTGTGTGTTTGGGGGAGAGCAGAGCAGGTATGGAGGCCGCAGCTCAGAAGGTAGCAATGGGGCCAGACTGGAGACCCCCGGGTGGGATTGAGGGGCGGGGACTGGAAGAGGGAAGCCGGGGGGGCTCCCAAATCCTGGAGGAGGAAGAAGGGGATTTGGGCCATCAGCGAGGGAGGGAGGCGGAGACCATTGCTGAGGGGCCAGGGAGCAGGAATAGGGGAGGCCCAGGCCCAGGGAAGGACTGGAAGTGGGGGATGAGAGGGAATGGAGATGGATGGATGGGTGGTATTTTAGATGCCAACTCGGAGTGCCCTCATCCTTCCTTCAGCATCCCCACCCTGCCCTCATGACATCCCCCAAGCCTCAGGGCCCAAGAGGGGGTGGGGACAGGCTCCCCCTGCCCCAGTGGGGTGCAATGTACGCAGGTAGGCCCTGGGCATAACTCCTCGTCTGTAGGTGTGTCCAGCTCCGTGTAGCAGATTTATGTGTGTCTGGAGGTCTGTGTGTGTCTGTGGGTGTGTCGGTGGGTGTTTATGTCTGTGTGTGCCTGCCTGTTCCTAGGTTTGTGTTTACCTATGGCAATCTATGTGTATGGTCCTCTCCTTGTAGGTATGTGTCTGTGGCTGGGTGGTATGTGTGTCCGTTTGGCTGTTATACGTTTATGGGGCCTGTCTGTGTGGTGGATCAGGATGTATTTACATAGGATGGGAATCTGTGTCAACCTGATCTCTCCACAGAGTGTATCTGTGGCTCTTAACACCTTTATCTGGGTGTGTGGCTCTGTTACACATGTACATCTGTGTCTGTCTGTCTGTGGGTCATAGAAGCCGTGTTGGGTTTTCTGTGCCTCTCTGTGTTTTCCTCTCTGAGGACCTGAGTCATGTCTCTGCTCCTTTTTCTCTCTTATTCATTCCTGGCCCCCACCTACCCCACATCTTTCTTTTTTTCCTTCCCACCTTTTCCCACAAAGTGGATCCGGGACCCAGGGAGGGCCACCCCCCGGGCCTGGTGGCACTGAGCAGGGCCGCCCAGCCCCCACCTGCTGCCCCACGACATGAACCTCCTCTACCGAAAGACCAAGCTGGAGTGGAGGCAGCACAAGGACGAGGAGGCCAAGAGGAGGTAAGGCTGTGGCCCCAGACTGCCCCTTTGCCTGTCCCACCTTTGCCTGCCCCACCTTTGCCTGCCCCCTTGCTCAGCCACAGCCCTTCCTGGGGCTCAACAGCCTTGTAGTTAGCGAGATCTCTGATCTCAGGGTCTGTGCTCCGTACAGAATGGCTGGAGTAGCCCACACCCTATCCCAGCCCTGCTTCTAGCTGTGGTCCCTATCCTGGCTTCCTGGGGGGCTTCCAGCCCCAGAGCACCCTGTTGGCTCTTCCCCATCCCCAAAGGCCGAGTCACTCCTTTCTGACTCACCTCTGGTCTGTGGTCTTCTCCTCTCTGTCAATTTGGGGCCGGCCGCTGGCTCTTCTGTCACCTGACCTTGGAAGGGGCAGGCCCCACCACCCTCATGGGGTCCAGGGATGGGGTCCTTTCAGGGGCATCAGAGAACATCCATTTGGCCCCCTCCCAGTCTTCTCTGCTGGGGGAGGTGAGTGGCCAAGTGACAGGGTTATTTGCGTGTGTGGTGGGGGGGATGTGCAGGCTGGGTCCCCGTCCCCCCACCCCATCCCTGCTTGCCTTCTCTCCTTGCCCTCCCCGGGACCTGGGGCCTGGCTTCTCCCATCTCACTCTCTTCTCCTCTTCACTCCCATTGACTGCACAGCCTCTTGGAGCTTGACTCAGAGCCACCTCCCTGCTCCTTTCTCCCTCCTCGCAACTGTGGAGTGTAATTCTTGTTGTTAATTAGATTAATCAGAGCAATCGCTGCAGCGATCTCTCCCTAATGAAGGGTTAGTAGACAGGGCCTTAATGAGAGCCCACCCCACAGCAGCTCTCCCCTCTTCCCTGCCAGCCAGCCCCCCCTTCGCTCACACAGAAGCTCGGGGAGAGTGAAAAGGAATGGGGGTGAGTCTGGGAGGGTGACAGGGAGAGGACAGCACCAAGGGAGAGGGAGGAAGGGAAGAAAAAGGATCAGCCCCGGGAGGATGCTCTTGTGATGCGGCAGCACATCCCGCATTTGGGAGAGGAGGCGCCCTGTGGGGGCGTAGGCTGTAGTAGCTGGACATGAGGGGAAGCCAGGGGCCAGGTGTGGGCCAGTGTGAGAGTGAGAAGGAGCTGAGGAGCTGTGGTAGCAGGTGTGTCCATGTGTCAGACGGACTGCATTGCCCAGGTTTGCATCTCCCTATATTTAAGGCCATCCACACGTGTGCTGTATCTACCTAGGCTGGGATCCACTAGCTCTGGAGAGGCTCCCCTGCACACAAACTCACCCCTTCTCTCATCCCTGCCCCCAATTGCCTTGCCTTTAGTAAACATAGGAATTCTGCCTGAAGCTCCTACATCTGTGTCTTGGACCCTCAGGCACCCACCCATCCCCACCCTAGTCTCTCTTCCTCCTCCCCGGTAGGCCACGGGGTTGCCAGCACCTCTTTGGGTGGAGGCCCAGTCCTGAGGCCCAACGTCTGCTCTGTTCTGGTCTTCTCTCCCCAGCTCCAGTAAGGACGTGGCCCCCGCAGGCCCGGCAGCGGGGCCTGGGGCTGGCGCAGGGCCTGGGGTCCGTGTACGGGACATCGCCTCACTGCGCCGCTCCCTCAGGATGGGCTTCATGACGATGCCCGCCTCCCAGGAGCACACCCCACACCCCTGCCGCAGCGCCATGGCCCCACGCTCCCTCTCCTGCCACTCGGTGGGCAGCATGGACAGTGTGCCGGGTGGACCTGGGGGGGGCGGTGGGGGTCTCACCGAGGACAGCAGCACCCGAAGACCCCCAGCGAAGCCCCGGAGACACCCCAGCACCAAGCTCAGCATGGCAGGGTCAGGAGCAGAGACACCCCCTGGCAAGAAAGCAGGTGAGATACCCGCCACCTCTCCCCAGGGGGAGCTGAGAGCTGGGAGGATCCACTCCAGGCCAGGGGAGGCCTGTGGGGAGGGTTCATTCAGGGAAGAACCAAGGAAGTGGAAGGTTCCATTCTCAAAAGGAAGGGGGGGTCCTTTTGGATAGGCCTGAGAAGAACCATTCAAGGGCAGGGGACACTCCCTGAAAAGTCTGTTCTTGGGAAAGGCGTGGTGGCCTTGGAGGGACATGAGAGTGGGGGAGAATTTAAGGTAGGAGCTGCAGATTCTGACTGGTTAAAAAAAAGGAACCCTCTAGGGTTATAAGCTGAAGGGTGTGGGAAAAAGGAAGAGGCAGATATGTCCTTGCAGATGGGTCAAGAGGTCAGAAGGGGTCCCCCCATTTCCTTCCCCCATTAAAAGCCCAGTTTATTTTTCTCTTTTCCATCCTGCCCAGGCTTACAGAAGCCAACCCCAGAAGGACGAGAGTCCAGCCGGAAGGTTCCTCCACAGAAGCCCAGGCGAAGCCCCAACACCCAGCTCTCTGTCTCCTTCGATGAGTCCTGCCCCCCAGCCCCGTCTCCTCGAGGGGGGAACCTGCCCCTTCAGCGCCTCAGTAGGGGGTCCCGGGTAGCTGGGGACCCTGATGTGGGTGCCCAGGAAGAAGAGCCTGTGTACATTGAGATGGTGGGGGATGTCTTCAGGGGAGGAGGACGAAGCGGGGGCTTGACAGCACCTCTTCTTGGGGGTGGAGGCCCGACCCCTCCAGCTGGCACTGACTCGGACTCAGAAGAGAGTGAGGCCATATATGAGGAGATGAAGTACCCACTTCCCGAAGAGGCAGGGGAAGGCCGGGCCAACGGGGCTGCTCCATTGATGGCAACCTCCCCACCACAACAGCCTCATGCCCTTCAGCCCCACACCCACCGCCGCCCAGCTTCAGCCCTCCCGAGCAGAAGGGACGGGACGCCCACCAAGACTACTTGTGAAATCCCCCCACCCTTCCCCAACCTCCTTCAGCACCGCCCTCCACTCCTGGCCTTCCCCCAAGCCAAGTCTGCTTCCCGAACCCCTAGTGATGGGGTCTCGAGGCTACCAGTCCTCTGCCACTCCAAGGAGCCAGCTGGCTCCACCCCAGCTCCCCAAGTGCCTGCACGGGAGCGGGAGACACCTCCCCCACCGCCTCCACCTCCTGCTGCCAACCTGCTGCTGCTGGGACCATCGGGCCGGGCCCGGAGCCACTCGACACCGTTGCCACCCCAGGGCTCTGGCCAGCCCCGGGGGGAGCGGGAGCTCCCCAACTCACACAGCATGATCTGCCCCAAGGCAGTGGGGGTGCCGGCAGCCCCTGCTGCCCCAGCCGCCTTGCTCCCCGGTCCCCCCAAGGACAAGGCCGTGTCTTACACCATGGTGTACTCGGCAGTCAAGGTGACCACGCACTCCGTCCTGCCAGCTGGTCCACCCCTGGGTGCTGGGGAGCCAAAGACAGAGAAGGAGATCTCAGTCCTTCATGGGATGCTGTGTACCAGCTCAAGGCCCCCTGTGCCAGGGAAGTCCAGCCCCCACAGCGGGGCCATGGGTACAGCAGCTGGGGTCTTCCACCACCGCGGCTGCCTGGCCTCCCCCCACGGCCTTCCAGACCCAACTGCAGGCCCCCTGACTCCCCTCTGGACCTACCCAGCTGCAGCAGCTGGGCTCAAGAGACCCCCTGCCTATGAGAGCCTCAAGGCTGGGGGGGTGCTGAATAAGGGCTGTGGAGTGGGGGCCCCACCCCCCATGGTCAAGATCCAGCTGCAGGAGCAAGGGACTGATGGGGGTGCCTTTGCCAGCATCTCCTGCGCCCACATCATCGCCAGTGCAGGGTCACCAGAGGAAGAAGAGGAGGAGATGGGCACCACAACATTTGGGGCAGGCTGGGCTCTGCAGAGGAAAGTCCTGTATGGAGGGAGGAAGGCAAAGGAGCTGGACAGTGAGTAACGTGTGGGGAAGGGAGGCTGGGGGGAGCTAGGGATGTCAGTGATGGTCTGGGGGAGGTGCTGGAGGGGTTATTTGGAAGTCACAGCCCAATATCCTGGTCTGGGAAGTTCTCTGGGAGACTGGAGGGATAGGAGTGGGCGACAGCATGAAGGGCTAGAGTCCCTGTGCTTGGGCTGGAGTCCCCGTGCGTGCGCTGGAGGGGCAGGAAGATATGGGATGAGAGGGTAGAATCTGGACCTATCCTGCTCTACTCCCCGTCCCTCCTTTCCCTGCGCTGCTGGAGTGTGTGTTTGTGAGTGTGTGCACACTAGGAGCTAAACACAGCTGCCTCCCAGCTGTTACCATGGCAACCCATCCAGACAGGAGGGAGAGGAGAGGGAGGCCCCTACCGTTGCCTGGCAACACAATGCTCTGCCAGGCCTACTCAGAGATGAGCTTAGTTCACATGCAGCCCTTCCCCCCAATTCCTACCCCTTTCAGGGTCAGGATTTGGGATTCTCTCCCTTCTAGGGAACAGCCCCTGGTCTTGGTCTCAGGGTGGTGGTCATTCTTGGCCCTATCTGGGACTGGAGGGGCCTGAAAGCTAAAGCTGGGGTATGGGTGTGGGGGGCCTCTGACCAAGGAAAAGAATTTGGAAGCAGCAAATAAATATGATTCTCAGCCCCAGGGGATGGCACCAATGGGTGGAAAAGATGGCAGTAGTGGGGTTCCTCCTGTGTGTATGTGAATGTGTGTGTGTGTGTTGGGTGAGTGTGATGTAGGTCTCTCCCATCCCTGCTGTGACTTGCAAAGGGGGCAGTTATGTCTCCTGGTCTACCCATGCTGCAGCGTGTGTGGCTGGGGGGACAGAAGGACCCCTTCTACATGCAGGCACTCAGCTCTCCTTGTTATCCCAGCAGAGGTTGAGGACAGTGCCCGGGCCTGGAATGGCAGTGCTGAGGGTCCAGGCAAGGTGGAACGTGAGGACAGGGGCCCTGTGACATCAGGGATCCCAGTAAGGAGCCAGGGGGCAGAGGGCCTGCTGGCCAGGATCTACCACGGAGGGGACCGAGCAGGGAGCCGCACAGCGCTGCCCATACCCTGCCAGACCTTCCCTGCCTGCCACCGCAATGGAGGTGACACCCTGCTCACATACATGTGTACACAGATGGGGTGGGCTGGGGGGAATCTCCCAGGGTCTAGCCTATCCTATCCTGATCTCCTATCACCTGTTCACATCCATGTCCAGGGCCCTAAATCTTAACACCACATCTGCATTTCCCTTTCGTCTGCTGATGAGACAGGGGTTAGCCTGGACTTGGCTCTCCCGAGGGAACTGGGGGGCGGGGGCAGACCTGGAGGCCCCTGCCCTCCTGACGCCTTCTTCCCCTCAGACTTCACCGGAGGCTACCGCCTGGGTCGCTCCGCCTCCACCTCCGGAGTCCGGCAGGCCGCGCTCCACACGCCCCGGCCCTGCAGCCAGCCCAGGGATGTCCCGAGCCAGGTGAGGCTTGTTTTTTCCTTTTATTTGTGAAGGAGCAGGTAAAGAAGGCTTGGGTGTGGAAAGAAAGGGATCGGGCAGGCTGAGGCCGGAGCCAGCGTTGCTGGCACAGACTAGTGGGGATTCGGTAGGGAGAGTGAGGGGGTCGGGGAAGGATCGCGGGAAGGGGCTGCTTAGGTTGGGCTGAGATGCAGGGCCCTGCTTGGAGATCATTCAGGGCCACCGCTAGCCGACAGTGCTCCTTTGTGCGATTTAGAAGAAGGACCCCCACTGGGGGGACCAATTAGAAAAATGCATCCGTCTGGGAAGACAGTTTATAAAAGGTGCCCCTTCCTCAGGGTCAGACAGGCGCAGCGTGGCACCAGGGGCACAGCGTGGCCGGGCAAGAGGTGCGGGGGCTGGATTTCTGCCTTCGTGCGCCCCCACAGCTAGGGGGAGAGGACAGAGGCCGTGGGGGTGAAAGCGGACTTGTTTCCAGGGGAAGACGTCGGTCTCAGCAGTGGGGACTCACCCCGGTCTCTCTGGGGTCTTTGACACCCCCGCCCACTTTTTTCCGCAGACCCACCCCGCGCTGCCGCTGCCGCTGCCGCTGCCACTGCCGCCGCAGCCGGCCCGCGAGCGCGACGGCAAGCTGCTGGAGGTGATCGAGCGCAAGCGCTGCGTGTGCAAGGAGATCAAGGCGCGCCACCGCCCCGACCGGGGCCTCTGCAAGCAGGAGAGCATGCCTATCCTCCCCAGCTGGCGGCGGGGGCCCGAGCCCCGCAAGGCCGGCACCCCGCCCTGCCGCCGGCAGCACACGGTCCTCTGGGACACTGCCATCTGAGGAGCGCGGGAGGCCGGGGAGTGGACTGGGGAGCGGGGCGGGGCATGCCCGGCTCTCCCGGGAGACTTGCCTTGAAAGACTGAAGGACCAGGGAGAGAGAGCCAGGGAGAACCCCTCCCCTCCACCCTAGTCCCCCAAGACGGGGACTCTGCCAAGCCTTTCAGCCTTGGGGTGCCAACAGCACCAATAAATCTGGGGGAGGAGGAGCGTTCGCTTGACGTTGGGGGTGAGTCACTCCTGCTCTCTCCCCACCAAGAGGTAGACTCCTTCTGAGAGAGCCGAGACCAAGCCAGAGGTCAGCATGGGGAAAGAGGGAAGGAGGGAAGGGTTCAGGAGGAAGAAGGGGGGGTGGGACAAATGAAGGAGAGAGACTAGAGTGAGAGGTAGAAGAGCTCTTTTATAGAGTGGGGAGTAAGGGAGGGCTATTTATTTTGTTATTTATTTTAATCTGGAGGGCAATTCTGGGCCTACTCCTGAGCAGGGAGTGAAGAATCAAGGCCAAGTTTCCACTCCCAATGCCAATGTCCAAAGGCCCACCATCCACGCCCACCCCAAAGCTAGGGAGGGTCTGCATGGGGAGTGGAATGAGAAAAGGAAGGGGCTCAGGTAAACAGAGGGCAGAAAACTATTTACAGTATTTACAATTTGCCAGAATTTGGTAGTGAGCGTGGCCTGCTCTGAAACAGGCATCTTACTTAGTTCTGGGGTGAGGGTCTAGTGCCAGGGATGGGCGGGGTGATGGGGAAGGAGGGAAATTTTAGTGGGTGGGGGGTGGGCAGGGTATTTATTTAAATCAAAAAACAAAAAAACAGAAGAGATGTCAAGACCTTTTTTTTAATTCCTTTCTTTTCAGAATAATATATTAAAAGACTAATGATCCTAGAGCTGGCTTCTTCTATTTCACAGTGTACTCTGCCGTTCTTACTCTCGCTTCTTTTTCCATCTTGCCCTTGGTTGGTGGGAGTTGCAGGTTCTGTGTAGGGGGTGAGTAGCTGTGGCCAGTAACATAGGGAGAGGTGGAGTCTCAGGTAAGCCTTGGGGAATGTCACCATGCAGTGAATCTGTAAGCATTTATTGAGTATCTAATGTGTTCTTAGCAATGCACTGATGTAGAAGGAATATTGAGACATGAAGTTTGCCCTCAAGCACCTTATAGTCTACTCAAGGGGATGAAACACACAAGACAACAGTAGCCTATGCTGCAGGAGTAAGAGAGGGAGAGGGCTGGAATCATCCAAGAAGGCTACCTGGAAAGTGAGCCTAAAAGGACAGGTAAGGTTTGGATGAGCAAAGGGGAGGAGGGAGAGCCCTAAGTCATAGTATGATTGTCTATGGAATAGTAGGAGATGGGGGAGGAGGGGAGGGGACAGGTAGTGTATTTACATGATGCAGAGGGCAATATGGAGTCCAGCCATGATGATCAACCTCAAAGCAAGTGCTGGTCCTCAGGAAAGAATCAAAGGAATCCTGCTGGGAGGCGATCTGTCACCAGGGAGCAGGATATGGAGGGTGCGTGGGAGGAGTGGGGGCAAGGGACAGTTAGTTGCCAGATGCAGCTGAAAGAAAACATCCTCAAGATGAGGCTGAAGCAGTGGAATTGGTCATATGCGAAGCCCAAGTGTGGAGATCCAGTGACTGGGAAAATGAAAGAGCTAGAATGTGGGGTTGAGAGGGACTTTGAAGGAAGAACACTGAATTTGAAGCAATGGTGAATAATCAGGCAGGTTGATAGGTTTGTTACCCGCTAGAACAGAGTTTCCAGAAATGCGGTATATGAAACAAGATTTTTTTTTTTTTTTTTTTTTTGGCAGCTGGCCGCTATGGGCATCCGAACCTGTGGCCTTGGTGTCATAAGGCTGTGCTCTAACCAATTGAACTAACCGGCCAACCCAAGAGATGTTTTTAAGTGATATGAAGAAGAACATTATTTAAAACTTTAATAGTTTTGTGTTTATTTTCATTCATATTAGAAAAGTTATAACCAGCACATCGGGCTACATATTATTATTTCATGGATGTTATTGCACAAGATAAAGCTCAATTTATTTTTAATGAGTTAGTTTGAAAAAAAATATTAAGCAAATACATAATTCTACAAGCTGCATACAGAATATGAAAAATTATGACAGTGGTATGCAAATTTTTGAAATTTAGGAAATACCAAGTTAGAAGTAAAATGATAGTTTGAGAGACAGGATAAGACTGTGGACATTAGGAGTTATCAACATAGAAATGGTACTCAAGGTCAAGACAGGTGAACTCTGTAAGGGAGGATGTGGCTAGAGATAAGAGTTAAGAACAAAATATAAACAAGCAGTAGCTTTTTTATAATTAGTTAGAAAATTAATGGAAGGATATATCCCATTCACAAGAGGAAAAAACACCATAAAATAACTAGGAATAACTTTAACAAGAAATGTATAGACCTAGATTGGATCAATCAATAAAACTGAAGTCCTTTGAGTCACTTAAAAAAAGAAGACCTGAATAAGAGTTATAACTTGTTCTTAGATAAGACTCGATAATATAAAAGATGTCAGTTTTCTCTAAATCCGTAAATTCAATGCAGCCTCTAAATCCCAAAAGGATTATTTGAGAAAGTTGATAAAGTAATTTGAAAATTCATCCAGAATGTTAATGAGAAAAACCAGAACATTCTGAAACAGAAGAGTAATGGGATGTGCCCTACCACCTACTAAAACATGAAATAAAATCCAGTGTGCTGGTCCTAGGACAGGACTGGCATAATCCATCAGAATAAAGAGTCCAGTAATAACCCCAAATGCACATGGAAATTTAGCATTTATAAGATAAAGGTGGCATTGTAAATTGCTTGGGAAAAGATTAGTTTTCCAATAATTGTTTCTTGAACAATTAACCAGTCAGGAGAGGGAGTGTGGGAAGCTGTACCTCATTCATTATGCCAAAAGATTGACTATTAATTGATTGATTGATTTTTGGTGGCTGGCCGGTGTGGGGATTGCCAAAAGATGTAAATGTAAAAACCTTGGGATGGACAAGGCCTTTCTAAAATGACATGAAAACTAGAAAAAAAATAAGCCAAAAGACTGTTAAGTTTGATCATATTAACAATTAAAACTTCTGTATGGCAAAGTCAGATTACAAACGTTAAACTGGGAAAATATTTCTTTTCTTTTTTTTTTTTTTAAAGATGACCACTGGGGCCGGCCCGGTGGCGCACTGGATAAGTGCGCCGCTTGGGAAGCGCGGCGACGCTCCCGCCCGAGGGTTCGGATCCCACAGACAGACCGGTTCCCGCTCACTGGCTGAGCGAGGCACGGGGGCAGCACCGAGGGTTGCAGTCCCGTTGCCGGTCCCCGGTCCGGTACGGGGGCAACACTGAGGGTTGCGATCCGTTGCCGGACACGGAAAAAACCACGCTCAGCCAGTGAGCCAACCGGCCATCCCTATATGGGATCCGAACCCGGGGCCTTGGTGTTATCAGCACCACACTCTCCTGAGTGAGCCACGGGCCAGCCCCGGGAAAATATTTCTAACACATATGAAAAAGATTAATACAATATATAAGAAGGGTTCATGAGTCGATAAGAAAAGGCAATCCAGACAAATGTGAACAAAAACAAACAATTCACCAAAGAAACAGAAATTACAAGTAAACATGTTCAGCCTGAATGATAATTAAGTAATGCGAAGTAAAGCAATAATAAAATAATTTTCACCTGTTGGACAGGTAAAACTGAAAAAAATCCGTAACATCAATCTGGCAAGAATGTACAGAAAACAGGCACTGGTGTAAATGTAAATACAACCTTTCTGGAGGTCAGTTTAATATTTATTAAAATTTTAAATGTGTATAGTTTTGACTCAGAAATTCCATTTCTAGGACTTTATTCTACGGAAATAATTACACATGTGTGCAAAGCTAAATGTACAAGAGTGCTAATTGCAGCATTGTTTGAAATAATGGAAAATTGGAAACGTCCCCAAAGTTCATCAGTATGACATTGACTAAGTAATTCTTGGTAACAATAGAAAATGGAAGCTGTTAAATAGAATGCAGAAGATATAAATGTGCTACACACAAGAAACAGTTCACAATAAATTAATGAGTGAATAAAGCAATGTGCAGGACAGTAGATATAGAAAAACCTCATTTTTAGAAAAATTATTTATTTGTAAATATTTATGTAGAAGAAGATATGGACGGAAATACACCAAATAGTTGATGATGATTCTCTTGAGATTTGAGGAAGGACTTAATATACTTTTTAAAAAATAAATTTATATTGCTTGAATTTTTATGTGTATGTCTTAATTCTAAAATCAGAAAAAAAATATATACATATATATATATTTTTTTTTTTTTAAAGAAAAACAAGTAGTTAATTGAGGAAATGAAGATGGGGGGCAGGTGATTGTGCTCAGTGACATGAAGTGGATATGGAGTCTGCATGTGTGGGCTCAAATTCCAGACTGGCACTTAGCGCCAAGTTTCTAGTTCCCTTATCTATGAAATGGGGATAATTAGAGGATTGTCAAGGAGATTAAATAAGATAGCACAATGCCTTCTTTGAGGCTGAAAAGAGAGAGGTAGGGATAGAGACAGAGATGGGTTGAGATGGGGAAGAGACTAGAACTTTAGCGGTGTTGGAGTGAGAGGCAAAGAGTGAAGGGAGGTGGGGTAGGAAGGACCAGGGCACAGGCAGGTGCTTGAGGCTGCTGTGAGCCAGGGCTGCACAGCCCTTCTGCCAGCTGAGCTCAGAGGCCTGTGAAGAGTTAGAAGCTTAATGCACTTTGGCTGTGCTGAGACTAGAAACCTCACATGAGGGATGGAGAACCACCTGGGAAGCCAGCCTGGGCCCTGCCCTGCCTGCCTGACACCTGGTTCAACTAACCTGGGACTCACATGTCCCCTCCTAGTGTCACCTTGGCACTTCCAGTGCTGACTTCCTACCCTTTGAAACTCTAGCCAAGCAGGGGACTCTAGGGCAGGCACAGCCAGAAGTGAGAGGGCCCTGGGGCATTCAAGTTAAGAAGGAGACAGGAGCTGGGTGGGGGAGACCTTCACTGGGGAAGTCAAGTGTTGCAACCAAAGGGTAGAGAAAAGAAAGACCTCAGAGATAATATTCTGCCTGAGTTTTCTGAAGAGCAATTAGGGTCTATCAAAGATTACTAAGGTCATATCATAAAGACTCAGGAGCAAACTCAAAGACGCTGCCAATGGCCAAAAGATGGGACAATTCAAGCATCAAAGGAGGATAATTAATAACTGCAATTGATTGAAAGAAAAATATATTGAAATCCATGAGTTCATATGATTAAAAAATATTGCTTATCTTTGGAGGATGCTAAGAAATCGATTCATTGTTTTGAAAACTGGTAAGTAAAGGGAAAGAAACAAGCATCTGTCTGCCTCTATCAAATCACAGATAAAGGGAAGTTTCTCCTTATAGAAATATTCCAGCTAAAGAATGCAAAAAGAATTTTAGAATTGAAACATCACAAAGAAGTAATGGGTTTATGTACTGAGTTTTGACAGCAGCTAACATCATATATCATGTGTCATAAGAGACATGATGTCCCTCTAGGGAAGAACACGCCATACTTGTGAAGCATTCCTGCCTCCCAAAATTGAACCTGAGAATGTAATCAAGCCTCCAAGATGCAACTACCAATTACGGGAAATACAGAGGACAGGGGAACACGTTAAACATCACCAAGGGGTACAGTCAGCAAAATTAAGACTGGGAAATGTCACAGGACAAACAACTGAGATTCTTCAACAAATACACCGCCAGAGAAAATAAAGAGAGGCAGAGGGAACCGTAGATTAAAAGTCACATAGCCAATTGCAATCTGGGGATCTTATTTGGAGCCTGAGTCAAAGTCTTGAAAAAAAGCTCACTTATTACATTTATGAGACAATTGGGGAAAAGACCACTGTCTGGGTATTTGATGATATTAAGGAACCATTATTAATTTGTAGGCATGATAATGTATTGTGGTTATATATTTTTAAGAGTCCTTAAAGAGGTAATACTGAAATATTAATGAAGAAATTATATGAGGTCTGGGATTTGCTTCAAAATAAAATGGGAAGGGGAAAGTGCATGGGGGAAAAGATGAAATGAAAACAGTCATGAGTTGACAACTGAGGTTGGATAATGGGTACATGAGTGATCATTACATCATTTTGTCTGCACATGAGTCTGTTTGACATTTTCACAATAAAAGTGTTTGTTTTTTAAGTCAGGGTGATGAGTCAAAAATTTTCATCCTTTGAAAAAAATGAGGGTTGAGAGCAGATGATCTAGAAAGCCCCTCCTAGCACACTCTCTCTCTAATTAAATATAACCTTTTATTTTTACAAAAGCAATGTATATGCATAGTTGAAAGTTACCAAACACTGAAAAACAAAAATAAAATACCGTATTTCCACCACCCAGAGGTTAGCATTGAACAACTTATTATATGTTGCAGACCTTTTTCTATGCCTATGTAGTTTAAAAAAAAAAATGAGATCATCCTGCACATGCTGTTTTGAAAGCTGCTTTTCTCAGTTAATGATCTCCACCTCTCCATTTCAATAGATTTTTATCTTACCAAATGCCCAGGACGTATATGTATTTCTCTAATGATCTCCCAAAGTGTCCTGGTGTTTTAGTCATTTAGGGCTGCCGTAACAAGATACCGTAGATTGGGTGGCTTGAACAATAGATACGTATTTCTCACAGTTCTGGAGGTTCCTGCAGATTAGGTTCCTAGAGAGGACCCCCTTCCTGGCTTGCAGATGGCTGACTTTTCACTGTGTCCTCACATGGCAGAGAGAGAGCTCTGGTCTCTCTTCCTCTTCTCATAAAACATTAATGCCATCTTGGGGCCCCACCCTCATGCCTCATTTAAACCTAATTACCTCCCAAAGGCCTCACCTTCAAATACTATCACATTGGACGTTAGGACTTCAACATATGAATTTGGGGGGGGACCACAAACATTCAGTCCGTA